ACCGATAAGATTAAATACGAATTGCCGGGTTTAGCCGCTTGATAGAATATAAAAGGATTCGAAAAGAATGCTGAATTTAAAGAAGCTGATTGCGATCTTATTTTATTTCAACGCGTTATGCAATTGATTTAGAAAAAAAACGAGCTAACTTTAAAGTTGTTTTACGGCGTTAAGAATAGCGATACGGAATTAAGATCATTCTTAAACTCAATGCTTAAGTTTATATAAAATAAAATTCACGATTAATTATAAATTTTGTATTTTATAAAAATACTTTTATTTATCTTATTTATTAATTAAATTTATTAATAATACTTATTAATTATATTTACTTATTATATATATTAATCATATTTATTAATTACATTTACTAATTATTATTAAAATGCTTTTCGCGATCGAAAGATATATTCGTAACTTCGGAAAGTCGTAAAGTATATGCAATTGCAAAACACTTTATTTGCTTTTTAAAGTTTAAAAGAGCTGACTTTTTTTATATAATTAATAGAAATCAAGTGCATTAGCTAACTATTAGGTTTTCTACTTAAATTGAAGGTCTTTTAAGCTATAATATAATAAGCTAAGCATGCTAAATAACTTATAAACTACGGTTTACGAATAAAGTCTTTTAATTATTATTAGCTAGCTTAAGTCTAATTATATTTACTAATCATATTTACTAATCACATTTACTAATTATATTTACTAATTATATTTATTAATTATATTTACTAATCATATTTATTAATTATATTTACTAATTACATTTACTAATTACATTTATTAATCGTTAATTTTTTGTATAACGATACGTTAAGTTTCTTAAACGCACTTTATATGCGCTAAGCTACTTCTTTCCTTTTTTCTTTCGTATTCTTCGTATTCTCTTATTCTTCGCTTTTAACTTATAAACTATAATTCACGAGTCTTTAGCGCTTTTACTTTCGTATATATAAACCTTAGCTACTTTCGACTTTTACATTCGGTAATTATTGATTTTAAGTTATTACTTTAAGATTTTCTTAAGCTTTTATATAAACTCTTGCGCTCTCGTAAGTTCTTTTAAGTAATCGCTTAAATGCGTTACATCTTAAAGTTTTAAATAAAAAGAATTAATCGACTTATTGTATTTAAAATCGATATAAATATATTAATAAATTATTTTAATATTTAAATTTATGAATTATATTTATAATTAATCATATATATATTTTATTTAATATAATAACGATTTTAAAACTATTAATATAAACTTATTTATTAATTTATAATAATGAAATTCAAAAAGCCTTTGCAAGCTATCGAATTTATTACTTTCTTTTCTTGCGATACTTTCTTTTTATATATAAAAAGTCTTTTGCTCGCTAATAATACTAATTTTATAATATCCGTTATTATGTTCGTTTTTATTAATCTATTTAATAGATAACTTAATTTTATAGCCGTTATTTAAAAATCGCTTAACTCGATATTCGTTTATTTCAATTAACTAGCTACGATTACGCCCTTCTTCGTTTAGCATTTCTATTGCACACCGAGCGTTTCGACCGTTCGTTCGTTTAATAGAAAAGGAATAATAAGTTTTGTTATCTACTTTAATAAAGATCGAGTTTAGTTGGTTTGCAATCTTTAATAAATTAATAACTTAATTAATATATAGATAATAAAACGGCACTTATAAATAAATCGGCAAGCGTCCGTTAAAATATAAATTTCTTTTATCTATTCTTTAATTATAATAGATATTCGAGCTTGTAGATATAATTATAAGCTAATACGATTATAAAGTGTTTTATCGTTTTATATAATAAACTTTTGATTAAATGCTTTTATTTTTAATATTTATCAAATTATATTAATTTTATTTACCGCATAGCAGCAGCCGAAAAGAAAGCTGCAAAGATTATATTTAAATTAAGATTTCTATAAGCACCTTATCCTTATATACTAATTAAATCTTAATAAATTTAAGTAAGTACTTGTTATAACGACCTTGAGCGATTATTTAAAGAATTTATAAAAAAGCGAAAGGATCATATAAAGCTTAAGAAGATTATAAAATCATTATTTGAATTTGAAATTAATAATTATCGAAAGTTAAA